CAGCTAGTTTGAAGGACTTTGTATACTGCAGGGTAGCTTGTGAATTTACTCCAGGTGGAACTAAAGTCTGATTTAACACTTGATTATATTTCACATCATTCATCCACATCTGTAAAGTAACTAAAGGTATTCAATACATGTAGTGGAGTAAAAGTACACATTTTACCTCTGAACTGTAGTGTAGTAGAAGTACAAATTATCATTAAATGGAAATACTCAAGTAAAATACAAATACTTCAACATTTTACTTAAGTACAGTACATGAGTAAATGTACTTAGTTACGTTACACCTCTGGTTACAGCAGCATGTAAACAAGACATTGCACATTAATTAAAAGTAGTCATATTGACATACCAACAGCAGAAAGATAAATATCAGTAGAGTATTGATAGTAAAAGGTAGGGAAAGTCAAAGAAAAGTCCCGTAAATTTGGGTAAAGAAAAGAGAAACTAAAGAAACTGTGAAACTGGGAGTTCTCTGTGAAGTTAATGAACTTGTTTCCCGACTGGTTGGACGAGGACAGAACAGAAGACAAGAGAACAAAGAGAAGAGACAGATGAAAGTCAGACGGTTGTAAGTGATCAGAATGAAGGCAGAAGAGCAGTCAGTGAATGAAAGGAGCGCTGGGAGGTGTAGAGAAAAATATGCAGATGTGGGATGCTTGTTGCTACGGAAACCTGTAAACACTGTCAAAAACATGGCGACTGCCAGGGGGATGATGACATCAGCAGTGGCCCACAGCTGTGACACAGAGAGATTTGGCGGGGGGGGGGGGGGGTGGACACGGATGTATACCAGACGAGCAGATAAACAGCAGAATGTCACAACAATAACAACACGGATTAGTCTTTATTTTCAACATGCTGCATGGTGGAAATCATGTTTTATGTTCAAGTGGTTTATGAATCACGTTTAATCAGATAAATAATTGTTGTTTTCAGTCCAGATGATTCCTAAAAATAGATGTTCACTTCTTAATCTACAGACGTACACCAGTCGCAGGCTCAGTATCTCAGGAGCTGCAAACAATTATTATTTATTGTTTATTTTGAGGATAATGCCTTAATCGTTTGCACTTAAAATGTTCAGAAATGTTTCCAACAGAGGTTTCCAGAGCCAATGTTGGCATCTTAAAATGACTGGTTTGTTTGTAATTCAGATTAATTTAGTTTGTTATCATATTAAACAAAAAAGATGGAGAGCATTTTGCTTTAAACAATCATTTATCACTATCCAAATAGGTTGAGTAATGTTGGTCTCCAAATCCATTCATCTTTTTTTTATTCTGTTATTCTAATCATTTAACTATATCATTTAACAATTACTTTGAATTATTTCAGTAAAATGTCAGGATTATAGTACAATGTTATTTTTTATTATATTGTAAATTATATTTATTTACAACTGTTACACAATAAAAGCAAAAGGAACAGTGGGTAATTTAATAAAGAAAGTAACTACAACAGAAATATAACTAAGTCAATCATCAATAATTAAAGGGGCACAGCACCTCTTTTCACCCTCTGTCTGAAACTATGGCCGGAACACATGGATTGTAGCCTCTACAGATCATTTACATGCACTAAAACCTATAGAACACATTAGGAGAGGGACAACTCCAAAAAGCATAATAGGGCCTCTTTAAGCTTCTATCCTCTATGCTACTCCAGTTAGACCTCATTGTGTCCAGAATGAAATGTGGTCCCTGAACGCCCCTCAGAAGTACCACAGAGACCGGACTTGTTTTAAAGCGTATCAATAACGTATTAGACTTTCAGTTTGTATTATGTCACCCTCATTCAAATGGACAGGGATGAAAGCTGATCCGGCACGACCTCTGAGGCTCCATAGCAACCAGCTGTGGTGCGTTTACTGTACAACACGGTATCCATTCATTAAAAAACACCAGCGGCGTCCTCACATTTTAGAAACTGGTGAGTAAGCTTTTAAATGATGGGAAGTTTCCGGCTTTCAAACAAATAAAGGGAATAATAAAAAGAACGTTGAGCAGCATGAACGGGAATGACCAATTGGGAATCAATGAAAACACCGAACACAGTCACGATAGAGTCTGTAATGACAGACTGGCAAGAATTATTTATAATTTCTCTGTCATGTATTTAGTTTTCTAATCAGATTTTTAAGAACTGTTTGAAAGTCTTTGAATAATAATAATATATATTTGCATAATAATCTCCCCTTGGCATGTTTGCAAAAATACTTATTTGTTTCCTTGCAGAGTTACCTTAGCTATGATGATGCCGGAAGCTACATCCAGCAGCTGGTTAGCTTAGATTAGCTTAGCATAATCAGGAAACAGGACACAACTGCTGGCCCTGCTCTAAGCGAAATAGAAGTCAATCAACCAATTCTTCCAAAAGTCAATTCATTACATGGATATTTTTGTTGTAATCTGCACGAATAAAGTGTAACGACATGTTAAAAAAAACATTTTACAAACAAGCTCAAAGAAATAGCTGCTGTCAGCTGCTACACTGCAAAAAAGGAATCTTAAGAAAGTAAAAACAAATTGTTTTTGGGAAACAATTCTTATTTTTCGTCTAAAAAGTCAAATTATCTTGTTAAGAATGTTTTGCTTAAGAAAAGCATTCTTACTTTGAGAAAATACATCTTACTTTTTCTTATTAAAAAATGCTATCTTATATTGAGCTAGACCAGTGACAAGTTACAGCATTGGTTTGCATAAATTCCCGGCATGGAACAGATTTATTTTTTTCTTATTTTAAGAAATAAATCATCAAGCAACTTCTCAATTTAAGAATCTGATGAAATGACACCAATTTTACATTTCATATTTATTTATTCACTGTCGAGAGCTGTTCACTTTTCACATTGCCATTGAGACAACTGTGGTGTGGTGCAACACACACATACCAAAAATACAAGTAGAAGTATTGCACGGCACTCATTGATCAAAATTGAAAACAGTTTAAAATGACCATGCAATGTTGTTAAATGTGTTCATGTTTGAATAAAAAAAAGTCTAAATATAAGAATGTTTCTGCTGTCTTAATTTAAGACAAATGCAATTATATAGAGGCGTGTGGCGCAGTGGACTAGTGCATTGGTGTTCGGATCTGGGGAGCAGAGGTTCAAACCCCACTGCAGTCAGCATGTTGTTGTGTCCCTGAGACACTTCACCCCAAATTGCTCCTGTGGGGATTGTCAACAGTATTGAGTATGTAAGTCGCTTTGGATAAAAGCGTCTAACATGTAATGCAATGTAATATATTATGCCAGTTCAAGAATGTAATTCTTAATTTAAGATTTACATTCTAAGTTTAAGACAAAGAAAAAGTCAAAGCCAATGATTCTTATTGCAAGCTTTCTTTGCTAATAGAAATCTTAATTTAAGAAATACATTCTTAGTCAACTCAACAACACTACATTTGAAGTTATTCTTTCTTAAATAATTCAGGGATCATTGCTTGTAATAAGCAAAATGTGCTTACATTTTTTTGTCTAGTTTCGAGGCCCATTACGTTCCTTCAGTAGCTAGATTTTAGTTTTAAGAATTTTAGCCAAGCAAATGTGGCTCCCCCCATTGGCAGATTGTTTTGCTTGATACAGGAAAATCTGATTTGATTCAAGAATATCTTTGCTTGTTTCTGGAAGGGCTGTTTTTGCAGTGTAGTACTGGCCATCATTCTGTAATAAAAAAATAAAAATAATCCTTTTAATTAATTGACTTTTATTTCTTTGAACAATCCTTTGCATTTTCTTTGCATGTTGGACAGAGGAGTCTCTTAACTGTAAATCAAAACACAGAAAATCTTTCTGCAGCATTTCAACGGTTTATTTTTAGAAAATCAGATCTTATATTGGCTTCATGGTCCCTTCAGGGTGCAGCAGTCACTGAATAATGTCAACATTCAATCAAATACGATAAGCAACAGTAAGAATACTTTCAAGTTTGTTTCCCTCAGGATTGTTTCAGATCAGCTCCAGTGATTTCAGATTTTGGAAACTCACGCAAGTAGAAACACATCAAAACGGCTGTCCACACACACATGACGCCCCGCGGTCAGCACAGTGTTTCCACTCTTCCAGCACCTTAACGAAGATGAGAACATCATGATTTTGTATTCTTATTACTGAGGAAGTGTTTCCCTGCCTGAGATTGCTCCAAGATTTAATTACCAGCCATCAGTGACAGAGGAAACAAGAAATTGTTCACTTAACACTTGCGGAGGACTTAAAAACTCAGATTCACTGTTAAAACTCGATGATTTGCTACGCTAACGATGTGACCTACTCAGGATACTACGTCATCGAGTGCCGCCGAAGGACTGTTCCAATCTCCAGCATACTTGGAATTCCACGAGGCCGCGTCCTTGGTTTGGGGGTAATTTCGAGGCTGCACATGGGTAGACTTTGCGTCCTTCAAATCCCCACAGTGCTTGGCGTACGGACCAATTTCCCCAAATCTGTGGCGGAAAATGTAAGGTGGAGCCTCTCATATGACGCACACCTGCACACTTGCTAGCCTGTTCCACTCTTCGTTTTCAGAATGCCAGGAAGGATTCTTGCCTAGCTTCTGAAGGAAGTGACTCGGAAGACATGTGCTACCAAGCAAGCATCCTCGCGATTGAGAAACGGTCACTGTGTGTGTTGTAATCCAAGCTTCTCTCTGTTTTATTTTGGTAGCCAAACTGGCTAGTTTATTGCCACCCCTCTGCACTGTGCTCATACAGTATGTGGTTTAATGCTAATATCCATCCGGATCTATTGTTGCGTTTAGCTATTGAATCTGAGCTCTGTCGGCAGAGTTAGCAGTATTAGCAACGTTAGCACAGATATCTGCTCTGTCATCAGAGGTCAAAGCCTTGTACAGGCATCCCTGCCCTGATTCGATGAAAGAATAAAAGAATGACGAGTATTTGATCCTGCTTTGTTTTGTGCTGGACCACAACATATCAGTCTTACCAGTAGTCAGTGGACCTCAAAGGATGATCCATGCAGATTTAAACCGACTGTCATGTGTTTTGTTTCTTTTGTCTTACAGAAGGAGAGTGAGCAGCAGATCAGTGTGCAGGTGGGGGGCAGCCTGACCTCCTTCACCCAGACGGGCCTGGCAGCCGGTCAGGAGTACACCGTCAGCATGAGCGGAGAGATGGAGGGCAGGAGGGGGGCTGAAAGGACGGCGCAGTTCGTGACCCGTGAGCTTTCTATACTTATTCGTCCTTTATTATATCAAAATCCCATTACTTTTCAACACAGGGATGGCAAAGCTGTGGATATCCAAATAACAGGGCTTAGAATGGAATTCCTGTTTGCACATATCAATAAGCAATACGTTGTTTGTACACTTTTTGATAAAAATCATTATCAGTCCATTTGAATAGTGTCTTGAAATGATCCTGTCATTTTACTTAATTGGCTGATCTGCATACATAATTGTGAGCATTAAAGTAGTGTAGCATGACTTAAAGAGCAGTTTCAGATACTGTTCTTCATATCTCAAGGAAAAGATGAAGGCTTCAGCCTCAATACAAAACAAATTGGTTTCATTATGTGAAAAAAACCCATTCATCAAATATGGCCGATGCTGGAATCATGAATGTATTGCAGTTGACAGGGATGCTTTAAAATGTAAAACCAGACAGTTGAGTAACGTTTCTGGTAAAGAAAAACAAAAAGAGATTCTTACAAAAAGATTGGTCTCATAAGTGGCTCATATTGCCAAACTGGCAGAGAGAGTTTAAACATTTCCCTCTCACTGCCCTTCCTGGGAAAGGTGTCATCTGTGGCAGCTCTGGTGTTAGTGTTAGTTTAAAGGGGACCTATCATGCAAAATGCACTTTTGAACGTCTTTTATACATGAATATATGTCTCCGGTGTTCCAGGGAACTCACCAAGTGTCAGAAAACACAACCCTCTCTATTTTCCTCCATACCCAAATCTCTTAAAAAGGGTCTGCAACGGATCTGATACAGACTGATCCAGATTTGAACACTTCTATGACGTCACAGAAGTGGCGCTACGGCTATTGGGCCAACTCCACCAATCAGGAGGAGACAGCCACGGGCATTGCCGTTCGAAAGCGCTGGAGACGCTGTAGTACATATGCCAGGCCTGTAGATGGTGCTGTTCTCACATAATCAGCCCATGCAAAGACAGTGTTCAATTGAGCGAAATGAGGAATGGCTAAAATGCATGATCTGTTTGTTATTTTGAAAGATAAAAAGTATAAATATGCGTTATATACAGGACTGTCTCAGAAAATTAGAATATTGTGATAAAGTTCTTTATTTTCTGTAATGCAATTTAAAAAAAAAAAAATGTCATACATTCTGGATTCATTACAAATCAACTGAAATATTGCAAGCCTTTTATTATTTTAATATTGCTGATTATGGCATACAGCTTAAGAAAACTCAAATATCCTATCTCTAAATATTAGAATATCATGAAAAAGTATACTAGTAGGGTGTTCAACGAATCACTTGAATCGTCTAATTAACTCGAAACAGCTGCAAGGGTTTCCTGAGCCTTGAAAAACACTCAGCTTGGTTCAGTAAACTAAATCACAAGTATGGGGAAGACTGCTGATCTGACTGCTGTCCAGAGGACCGTCATTGACACCCTCCATCAGGAGGGTAAGACACAAAAAGAAATTTACTCAAAGAGCAAGCTGTTCACAGAGTGCAGTTTCAAAGCACATCCACAAAAAAGTCTGTTGGAAGGGGGAAATGTGGCAGGAAACGCTGCACAACCAAGAGAGATGACCGCAGCCTTAACAGCATTGTGAAGAAGAGTCGCTTCCAGAATTTGGGGGAGCTTCAAAGACAGTGGACTGAAGCTGGAGTCCAGGTATCAAAAGTCACTGTTCACAGACGTGTCCGGGAAATGGGCTACAATAGCCGTATTCCCATGATCAAGCCACTTCTGAACTCAAGACAACGGAAGAGGCGTCTGACTTGGGCTAAGGAAAAGAAGCACTGGACAGTTGCACAGTGTCCAAAGTCCTCTTTTCAGACGAAAGCAAGTTTTGTATTTCATTTGGAAGTCAAGGCGCCAGAGTCTGGAGAAAGGCTGGAGAGGAGCAAAATCCAAGTTGCTTGAAATCCAGTGTGAAGTTCCCACAGTCAGCGATGGTTTGGGGAGCCATGTCAGCTGCTGGGTGGGTCCACTGTGTCATCAAGCCCAGAGTAAATGCAGCTGATGTACCAAGAGGATTTTAGAGCCTCATGCTTCCGTCTGCTGACAAGCTCTATGGAGATGAGGATTTCATTTTCCGATGTCTGTCACTGCCACATGCAAAACCACGTACTGGTGTACTGACCATGGCATTCTGTCCTCGATGGCTGCAAATTCCCCTGACCCTTACCCATAGAGGAATATGTGGGGGGGTATTGTTGAAGAGAAGCTGAAAGGACACCAGACCAACAATGATTATGGCTAGGCGCTATTGAGCATCTGGGCATCCATTATCCAGCAATGCACAGGCTGATTGCCTCCATGGCACGCGCATTGATGCAGTAATCGGTGCAAAGGTTCCACAGTACTGAGTGCATAATGGCATTTTCAAATTTTTGATTGGTTTTGCTGTTATATCTTTTTTTACTTGGTTGAGGAATATTCTAATTTTTTGAAGTGGATTTTTGAGTCTAAGCTGTATGCCATATCAGGCAAATTAAAATAATAAAAGGCTTGCAATAGTTTCAGTGATTTGTATGAATCAGAATTATGAATTTTGTTTTTTTATTTGCATTAGAAAATAAGAACTTTATCACAATATTTTCTATTTCTGAGACAGTCCTGTAGGTATGTCCTACAATATATGTATTCATAATATGCATGATAGGTCCACTTTAAGAAGTTAAGAGCAGGATGTTCTGATCCAAGTCTGCTGGGTAAATTAAATAGTGCACAGGTGGATGTGTGTGTGCCTGCTTTTCTATATGGTTCACTTAAGGCAAGTATGATGAAATGAGGCTCAAGATGTGTCTTTCTATTCTTATTTTGTGCTTCATCTTCAGTCATCTCGGTCCTACTAATCTCAGCGTTCGTCAAAACACCTCACTACTGCAGTTGTCAATGGAAGCATGTTCGCAGGTGAGATTGACAGGTACGTTTGACGTCGCGCCCAGCGGACGGAGAAGAAGGAGTTCAGAGTTGGATCCATCCCACCTGGGTCCAGACTCGCCCACATTGATGCAGCTGGAGGCGGGGTCGTTTGTATGACATCATACTCGAAGCTAGGAGAAGGGCACGAGTCGGAGCAGAACCAGCAACCACTCAGGTGTTACCCGGTGCTGAGTACCAAAAAGAAATTTGATCTGCGCTATTGGTTTGATTTAAGACAGCTTCTTTGCTATTAGTTGGTCCTCTTTCTGAAGAGAGTTATTTATTTCAACGGATAGAATATTTCAGATCGCTGGAAACCTTATAACACTGTTGGATATAGCAAAAGTAATGCACACTTTTTCTCTTATTGTTTAAGAAAGCACTTCTGCACTTAGAAATTATTGCACCGTTTTGGAAATCTATATTTGTGATGTGTTTTTAAAGGTTGCGTGAGGACTAAAGGGCTAAAGCCACATACATGGAAAGTTTAAGTATTGAACACAGGACTTAACACATTTGTTGTTTTTGTTGGCTTTCTAATGTGATGGACAAAATAGATAGATGTCAAAAAACACCAGACATATTTAAAGTGAAACTGGTCGTGATGTCTTTTTAAGATCCCAAAACCGCTACTTCCTGTGTACTTCGGACTTGCTTGACTCCATTGTAGCAAGTTCAACTGTTTTCCTTCAAGATGTAAACAGGTGCAACAGCCTTGTGTTCTGCTTTATTTAAACTTTGTGTCCAGACACCTCCATTATTCAGCATAACCTCATTGAAAACGACTGTCGAGGAGGACAGTAAAGTTAATGAAGGCAAAGGTGCAGGCCTCAACTTCCACCTCGCTAAAGATAATGAGTTTCAGAAGAACACTATCTTGGTAAATGCTCCTTTTTCTGATTTCTTCCGGATATTTCCCCTCTCTCAGGTGGCACAGGCACCATGTTGAAACATCTGTCCAAACTTAACATTATTATATTTCAATGTTTTCCTTGCAGTTCTACTGGATCGTCACTGCCTGAAATGTTTGCATAAAACTGACAAATTACTTGCAATAGGGTTTCCATATAAAATCAGCGGTAATGCATATTAAAAAACTTTCTTCTTTATTAGACTTCTGGAATGTTCAAGAACGCAGCATCATATTGATGTCCCTAACACTGAATCCGATTGCTAACGTACCCTTTACATTCTTAGGTAAGACTTACCAAGGGTTTCCATGGGGCGCTTGACCATGCGCGTTACACAGAAGCCCTGGACTTTTGTTTTGTTTGTTTCGTGAGTTCAACCTTGGCCTGAGGTTAAAGCTTTGACCACAGAAGAGCAGAAGGATGGAAGTGATGGCTGACTCTTAATAGCAGAGCTTTTGATGGGCCTACCGCCGGATATACAACCTCTGTGACTGCAAAACTAAACCTCCTGGTCTCAACAGGAGAATGGCAAATAAATGGCACAGACCATTCTGTAGAGCCAAATGTCTCAGGCGCCTTTCCGTTTAACCACAACCGGTTGCGCCTGATGGGGCAACAGGATCCTCTTGAATAAACCTTGCTGGTCGGAGGATGACGCACTAATAGTACCCAACAAAACCAACCGATTTCCCCACTATAGGGAAGGACAAGAGGCAGAGCTGAGCTGTAGGGCATCGAGCACTGAGGGAAGGATGACAGTCTCCAGCTATGATTGTTGGGAGTACTTCACATACCAACAGACAATTATTAGTCCGAGACCAAACTGCTGCCGTCGGGTCCAAAGGCAAACCAGATGGTGGCTCGCGCTTCGCGCACGCGCCCTGTCCGCCGTTCGTGTCTCCAGGACGCTCAACTGGGTTGTTCCCCGCAAGGCCCGAAATGCTCACCCTCAACACAACCGTTAAGGTTGACCACACTCTCGCTCTCTCGCGCCGCGCCCGCGCGCGCCGGGTTTAGAGAGGATGGAACAATACTGGAAGGAAAGACAGCGGTTTCAGATCACGTTCCTTTGAAAAGGACAGAAAGTCTGCAGAGGACACTTGTTTTCACAAGATCTTTAATTTTGACTACACTTTTTGATCGTTTGAGATATCACACGGTTTTTCTGTCACCTGTCA